TGGGAGGGGTGGTTGGATTTTCTCTTTTTTTTATGAAATCCAAATGCTAGATATTAAAGTTAATGTGGGATACCGACAACGCCACCTGGAATAACTCCAGGAAAATAGAATAGTAAGGACACAGGTAAGTTCTACTGGAAATGAGACAAGATTCAAATAGTTTTACAAAAGTTTATTAACTTCAATATTCTTCCTTTGTTTAAAATAGTCACAATAATCTGCAATTAGATGGTTTATCTTTTTTCTAATAATACATTTTGCTTAATGGTCTGAATCATTAATGTGTAAAAAAAATAAATAAATAAAAACCAAAGAAATCTTTAAGGAGAGAATACATTTGTTAAAGTTTTATTTAATCTGAACAGCTGAAGTTGAGATCTTTAATGATAAAGACACATTTTTCATTGTTTTATTCCAGATTCTTATGAAGCAGATGGTGGACGCTGCCATAGACCTCCAAAACAAGGAGATTTTCCACAGAGACTTGAAGTGTGAAAACACACTGGTGGAAATGGGATCCAAGGAGCCTCGCATCCAGATTGTTGACTTCGGCTGTGGAAGCTTCCAGATGACGAAAGTCTACAGAAGTTTTAGTGGTGGGTTTCCACTATATTAAACATTTAACTGAGATCCTCTTTGAGTCATTTCCTTTAGAAACCAAATGGACGAACAAAGAATAACAGTCTGCTCTGACTATGCCTGTATTCCAGGTACTCTTGCATTCGCCCCCCCAGAGTGGATCAGCTGTAGCAAATACAGACCTTCTCCGACCACAGTTTGGCAGCTGGGAATCATCCTTTATCACATGCTGCACAGGTGATACTTTGACACCAGACTTTTTACTGCCTCATGAAATTCAACAAAAACATTTCGCAAGGTATAGGAACATAACCAGCAAGTGCCTTGCTAGTTAGCGCCCGCCTGTGCTTCTGACCATTAACCCTTGGCTTCTCTTTCCAGAGTGCCTGAATTTTCTGCACCAGTGTTTGGAGGAGGATAATAGGAGACGATCCACCCTGGAGGATCTCCGTTTTCATTCCTGGCTCCTGCCACTGAGGTCCGTCCCTCGAGCCATCCTGTTACTGAGCCCCGTCTCTCAGGGATCCATCCTGTGACTGAGCCCCGTCTCTCAGGGATCCATCCTGTGACTGAGCCCCGTCCCTCAGGGATCCATCCTGTGACTGAGCCCCGTCCCTCAGGGATCCATCCTGTGACTGAGCCCCGTCCCTCAGGGATCCATCCTGTCTCTGAGCCCCATCCCTCAGGGATCCATCCTGTGACTGAGCCCCGTCTCTCAGGGATCCATCCTGTGACTGAGCCCCGTCTCTCAGGGATCCATCCTGTGACTGAGCCCCGTCTCTCAGGGATCCATCCTGTGACTGAGCCCCATCCCTCAGGGATCCATCCTGTGACTGAGCCCCATCCCTCAGGGATCCATCCTGTGACTGAGCCCCGTCTCTCAGGGATCCATCCTGTGACTGAGCCCCGTCTCTCAGGGATCCATCCTGTGACTGAGCCCCGTCTCTCAGGGATCCATCCTGTGACTGAGCCCCGTCTCTCAGGGATCCATCCTGTGACTGAGCCCCATCCCTCAGGGATCCATCCTGTGACTGAGCCCCGTCTCTCAGGGATCCATCCTGTCTCTGAGCCCCATCCCTCAGGGATCCATCCTGTGACTGAGCCCCGTCTCTCAGGGATCCATCCTGTTACTGAGCCCCGTCCCTCAGGGATCCATCCTGTGACTGAGCCCCATCTCTCAGGGATCCATCCTGTGACTGAGCCCCGTCCCTCAGGGATCCATCCTGTGACTGAGCCCCGTCCCTCAGGGATCCATCCTGTGACTGAGCCCCGTCCCTCAGGGATCCATCCTGTCTCTGAGCCCCATCCCTCAGGGATCCATCCTGTGACTGAGCCCCGTCTCTCAGGGATCCATCCTGTCTCTGAGCCCCGTCCCTCAGGGATCCATCCTGTGACTGAGCCCCGTCCCTCAGGGATCCATCCTGTGACTGAGCCCCGTCTCTCAGGGATCCATCCTGTCTCTGAACCCCGTCCCTCAGGGATCCATCCTGTGACTGAGCCCCGTCCCTCAGGGATCCATCCTGTGACTGAGCCCCGTCCCTCAGGGATCCATCCTGTGACTGAGCCCCGTCTCTCAGGGATCCATCCTGTGACTGAGCCCCGTCCCTCAGGGATCCATCCTGTGACTGAGCCCCGTCCCTCAGGGATCCATCCTGTGACTGTGCCCCGTCCCTCAGGGATCCACTGGGCCTTTGTACATGTGATAAAAAATATTTATATTTTATATTATTTCAATATATATATTTAAATTGCTCTCTGACTGTTGTGTGCGTGTTTGTAGCTCAGTCTAGCACCCTGACTACCACATCCTTCATTATTTTCTGGAACTATAAGTCGACTTTATTGTGTTTGAGGAAATCCCACTTTCAGCTTTTATAAAGCTGGTTGCATTTTTTGCTTCTTTTAGCACCAAGAAGATTTTGATTACAAGTTATTAAGATAAAGCTGGGTTTACAGTTCAAAACCAGGTTATTGTTGAGGATCTCAACCTTCCTGTACATAACCATCATATTATAATCCTAAAACTATCCATCTTCTAACACACTTAATCCCAAGTGGTGGTTGCAACGCGTGCTGGTCTATGGGCAAGAGGCAGGGTACACCCTTAACAGGTCCCCACTCCATACCTAAGGAGAATTTAGAGATTTAGTTAGTTTATTTAGCCAGTTAACCTAACAGTCATGTTTTTGGACTCTGGGAGGAAGCTGGAGTACCTGGGAATAGAACCCAGAACCTTCCTGCTGCAAGGCAGCAGTGCAACCCACTGCACCACTGAGCAGCCTATATCCTAAAGCTATTTAATTGGAGATATAAAGTTTGATTTCTCTGGATTTATTATTGATGATAAACTCAACTGGAAAAATCAGCTTTATGCAAAATGTCTAACAGTATTTCTATATTGCAGAAAACTAAATGTTTTGATTGGATAAACATGATCTATATGGTGGTTAAAGCTATAAGCTGCACCAGCCCTAATGAGAAAACTGCCCCCGCATTTCAATATAACAGCATAAGATGATATAAAAAAAGTCCTGAAAAAAAGAAGGGCTTATTTTTATCTGTATAGTGCCTTGAGATGACTTGTGTTGTAAATTAGCCAATAAAAAAATATTAAATCATATTAGATTTACAGAATAAAAGATAAAAAAGGAAAAGATTTAAAAATAAATTAATGAATGAATAAATGAACAAGCACATAAATATATCTTAAAATAAATGAAAGATAAATATTTCTATAAAATAATTACAAAGTAGGTGGAAAAAAATAGTTGTCCCCCCTACGTTTGATGAAAGAAAAAATAATAATAAAATGGTCAAAGAAAAATAACTTCAATCTCACAAAATTAATGAAGAATTCTATGAAAAATAAATTAATTAAAATCAGATATAAATTTCCAACCATGTTTCAACAGAATGATTAAAAACATGCCTGGACTAAAACGATGGTTTCCTGGACTATTTTGTTGCCCAATCTTTTCAGTCAATCACTGTTTTTCAATTGTTTATAGGTTTGAATTTTGTAAATAAAGTGTTTTTAAAAGAAAAAAAAAAAGTATTCTTCAAATCCAAATCTTTTCTTAGGAGTTTCTGCTGTTGGATAATAACTATTTATAATTTTATATTTTACTTCTTTTACTTTTGGATTACACCTGAATACTTTTTTTCTTTTTTCTTTTAATTATTATTAGGTCAAAAACATTTACATGAAAAAAATACTCTCAGAGAGGATAGCAAAGGTGAACATGAACAGATAAACATCAATTACAATAAAAGAAAAACAAAAAAAGTAAAGCAACTATCAGGGGATTTATATCAGCAAACAATAGAATCAAACATAGACAGAGCCATAGAAATAATAAAAACAAAAAGGTGAACGCACCTAGAACAGCAGATGTTTGGAGAAATCAAGTCTCAATTTTTTGGCACATTTGTCATTTTTTTTGTATCTTTTTAAGAGAAGAAAACAAGGTTTTAAAGTCATTAATAAACCAATGAAAGGAAGGTTTAGCATTTCTCCATTTAGCACAGTGGATATGATATTTACTCAACAACAGGAGGTTATTGATAGTTTAAGAAACAGGCTGGGGAAGATGGTCCATATAAAAAATGACATCATTTAGTGCAAATATATATATATATATATAAATCTGCGGGATTAACGACTTTGAATATGACTTTGTACTCATTTTGTTTTGCTGTGGAATGTAGGGATTGATTATCACCTGAATGTTCTGAAATGGACTCCCTTCAACTGATCTCTGCTTTTTCCGCTTTTTCTCATTTTTACATTTCCAATCTTCTTCATTGTCACTATTTCCCTCTTCCATCCCACAAGAATCACCTCCTGTTTCATCACTACTCGCGGCCCAGGACATTTCTCCACGAGCGACTTCGAAACACGCACCATGCACCAAACGACCATCCAGCGGCAGTAGGCCCCCGTCACGTCCACTCGGTGCAAATTACTTTTCAAGTTATGGACAGCACTTTGCTGGCAGATCATGAAAACAAAAAACTGTGTTTTCTCTTTGATTATGGCATAAAATGTGCAGTCTTACGAAGACAATGCAAATACAAATAGGATGATTGATTACTAATTTAATTTATGAGTCAAGTAATGCAGCCACATTCTTAAAATGAAAAAGCATTTCTGGAAATGCTTTTTCATTTTCAAATTTTACATTTCAAATTGACTTTTGGTATGTATTAAGTAAAAGGATGAGCAGTGTTAAAGAAGAAAATTAAAATGCAAACAGGATTATTGATGATTAATTTCATTTAAGAGTCAAACAATGCAGACACATTCTTAAAATGAAAAAGCATTTCTGGAAATGCCTTTTCATTTAAAATATGGTAACGATTTGCCTTCATAGATATCAGGGGAATTTGAGGAATGGTTATTAGGATCCGATAGGTGGCAGCAGTGGGGCGATAATGGATTCGAGCTGCCGTTGAAATATAAAGAAGAAGAAGCGTCTTTGTGCCACTAGCTCAGATTGGGTGCAGCATTAGCTGAAATTTGTTCTCGTTGTGGTTTTTCATCTAGCTATTCAAAACGTCGTACGCAATGAGGTAATGTTTACCATTTTCTGATTGGTATAGTTATTAGTCTGATCTCTGTGTCTGTGAGTTAATACCCTGGGTAGCCCGTTTGATGCTGCCTCATTTGTGATTAGCAGCGTGATTAGCGCGTGAGCTACGGAAAGCTAAAAATGCTCCCGAAATTTTTTTTAAATGTTTCAGCCGCTCAATTGATTCTTTGGTGTTTCCATATCTGGGCAACATGATCTTTGGGAACATTTGCCGTTTACATCCCACTGAATGTGTTAATGAGTCATGTTGTGTTCAGAAATAGGTGTTCTCAGATCAGTAGTTCGGCATTTAGCTCTATAGTAAACGTTATTGAAAAGGTGCAATGCTGTCCTACAAGGTTAAAATCAGCGAGGTGCATTTCTTGTTTGTTACCATGTTGACTTTGTTTTACTACCCAGAGGAGACCGCGGCAGAGGCCGGGGGGGGCGCTTTGGTGGCCGCGGAGGACTGATCCAGGGGTGAGTCTGATTGTCAAAGAAACAGTCGCTTCTACACTTTACACACACAGAACTATGTTTTCTCTACATTTATTTTGCTGAACATTAACTGCACTGTTGCAGTCCTTTCTTTGCATTTAATCCAGCTTAAAAAGTATACTTGAGGCTAGTGATGGTGAGATGAAGCCTCATGAGGCATTGAACTGTTTGGCCAATTTGCTTCAACGATCCCCACAGTTCATGATCATGTCACCACCTACTGGTGTAATGCAGAACTACAGTAAGTAATAAAATCTGATTTTTTTTTTTTGGGCAATTTTTTTCCCTTTTAAGTTCCTTTGAAATTGTTAATTGTTAGTGTGTATAATAAAATGTTTTGTAAATTTTTTAAGTGTAAAATTTCTTACAACAATCATTTAAGGTGCACAGTTTTTCTGCCATTTTAGTGAAATAAACTCGAGCAGACAGTGAAAGTGTTTGTGCAAATTGGGCAATGATAAGCCAAAAAAGTTTTTCCACATTTTTTGGTTTTATTCAGTCGGAAGCTGTGTTCAACCAATCTTTTGGCTAAACCTACTATTTTGGCAGCGTTTTTACCCAATCTGTATTTTTACTAGGGCAAACCAATGCAAATTAGTCTCATTAGCCAAAATAATTAAGTTTAATCACAACTTTCAAAAGTTAAGGCCGGTTTTGAACCATCAACCTCTAGGGTGAGAGCCTGTGTCGTACAGATGACGCCACTAATATACTTCTTAATGCTGACGTGCTAACACTGTGTCCAGTGGTTTGCTCAGATTTTGGTCATTACATTGTTTGTTCTCACCAAAATAGTTTTAAACAACTAGATTAGTTGGAAAACAACCAATCAATTCTTAGAATCTATTCAAACTCTATCATACTGACAGCAACTCTCCTCCAATCTCCCACATCTTGACTGAATACTGAGGCTGTTTAGATGCCCGTCACGTGGTATCACGATAGCGAGGTCTTGGACGTCATAAATTTTGGCCCCTCCTCTAAATGAATCACGCCTCGACACGCGCTTTGGAGAAACGCCCCCCCATTACTCGACACACGCCTCGAAGCCTCGGCTCAGCTCATAACATCACTACTTGAGATTATTCTTTTAAACCTAGACTATTTTAATCTACACCATCTGTTAATTATCTTGTTGGTATTAAAAAAAAATATTAATTTTAATGAAATTCAGTTTTCACTTTTGTTTTGCATTAAAGGATGAGCCAGTTTCATAGAAAACCCCCATCATGATCACATCATGCCTGTGGGGAAACGACTGCATCAATCAATGTTTAAATAGACAATTGTGGTAAAGAAAAGGCAAATGTACTTAAAATTCTTATCTTTTGATCTTGTTTGATTGTTTTATCTGCATGGAGCCATCGGAGCTTTGCAGGAGAACAGTTTCAAATATGGGGGACTAGGGCTGGGCGATATAGAAAAAAAGCTTATCGATTAAAAAAAATGCATATTGATCGATATCGATAATTATTGAAAAGATTTGAAACCATATTTTATGTGCAGCTCTGCCTGGACATTTTATATTGCTAAATGATTTAATTTTAATAAAGAACACAAACACAGACTTCCAATTAAATATTTATTTAACCAACTTTTTTAACCATAACAGAATTGTTTTAAAGAAACAATTCTTAGTTTCCTGCTTTAACCTGAGTTATTACTTTGAAGTTGCTGGCCCCTCAGCATTTTTCTCTCAATTGTTAGAACTACGTGGGAAACTGCCCAGAACTTTAAATATATATTTTCCCGAAATTCCCGAAGATTCCTCGGAGGAGAGCCGCGTCGTGGCCTACACAGCTCGTACTCCTGCGGCTGTGAGCGGCTGAGATGATAAAAAAAAAAAAAGTTGGTTGTGTTATCAGACTTCGTTTTCTCTGGTTCCCTACAGTTTTACAGATGACTGTGGTTTGTTTTTTGTCCGACTTGCCATGAACGAAATACTGCCAGACTGGCGAACTACAAAAACCTTTCTTTGGAACAATTTCCTCTGCCTCTCCTTGCTGCGACATCTTCATGTGCTCTGTGTTGTGGTTTGAGAGGGCGGCGCTTTGTGACTGCGTGCCTGGGTTCGCGATTGTGATTGGTTAGGAGGAAGCAGTGACTAGCATAAACCTACATGCTAGGCTACAATGAGAAGGAAGGAAAACTGCCTTTTTTTATCGAACTTTTATCGACCCTATTTTTTTCTATTGCGCCACATGTCTATCGATCGATATATATCGTTATTGAATTATCGCCCAGCCCTATGGGGGATTGCTATTGATAAATGGCATTTCAGATTAAAGGGGAACGCCGTTTTTTTCCATTGGGCCTTGATTTTACGTTATTCCATCATGTTCTACTCACCCGTATGAGTTTAGTGTCATTTGGAGCCGTTCTGAAGATATTCCGTTAGGTTATATCCAAGTAACGTCTTCCTATGGGCAACGACTTGAAGGCACAAACTGAACTGTTCATCATTTATTCTTTATGGTACGCCAGCATTCAGAACATGGAGGCCAATCACTGTCCCCCAGACATCCGCGGTTAGATTATTTATTTTTTTTAAACAAAGCGGAGTGTATATGACAATATAACCTAACGAAATATCTTCAGAACGGCTCCAAATGACACAAAACTCATATGGGTGATTAGAACATGATGGAATAACGTAAAATCAAGCGAAATTCTCTTTTAACGGCTTTTAAAGCAAGACATTCATGTGAAATTAGAGAAGCTCTTTAATGGTAAGAAGCATCTGATACAATATAATGCAACCACAACCATTAATGAAATGTTCAAAGATGGGATACAATTAAAAAGAGAATGCATAGTGAGTGACTGGAATGTGTTAAAGATAAATTAAATCCTAAAAATAAAAGCATGGACTTCCCTAATGGTGCACTCAAGGAACCTGTTATGGGCGTCAAAGCATCTGATGCATTGGAAAGTCAGAGTTTGATACTGCAGTTCAGAAATTTGAAACTTGGCCCCTGAATGCCGGAGCGTCGACCAATCAGGGGGTTTAATTTGCAAACTGCAACCAAACTCTTTTGCCTAATGAAACAGCTGGGTACATTGATGCTGCAACATTTGATGAACCAAGTTTCTTCATCTACTTCAAATGAATAGCTACTCATTTCTTTTTCTCTCTACTTTTTAGGTACCGCCCGTTTGTCCCACACATTCCATTTGATTTTTATGTGGTAAGTGATTATTGTGCCAAAGCTGTTGCAATCAAAAATGACATGTTTGAATATATGCCTGGACAATTATTTTAGACCAATATTGCAATTTTTTTTTTTGGATGATAATCCTTTACACCAAGAACAACCATGTCTGTTTTACACCAGGGTTTCAGTTTTTCCAGTCCTTAAAAGCCTGCTTGTCCAGTTTTGCAGGACTTTACTGTTAAACCTGCACAAACAAGTTCTTTCTTCTACTAGATTGCATTAATCTAGGTGTTAGCTGCACATCTGTCCTGTGCAGTGCATGCCCACTATAATCGTATTACTGCCACCTAAAGGGCTGGAAGGAGACATTTAGTGTTTTACTATTGTTAAATGTGTCTGCAATTTCATAATTGCATTTTTTTAAAATTACAATCATGTGGCAAATGCAATTAATTTCCCAGTCCTATTTGAATGTTAAAGTTGGAAGAGATACTAAAAGTGAATTTTGGTGAAATCAGAACTGTATAGTGAATGTCTGTCACATTCTACAGAGACCTGCAGACGGCCACATGCTGTTAGCGTTCCGCCCCGCTCACGATCAATGAGATCTGTTCCAAACCCACCACAACTTTTCCGCCACACCAAAACCGTTTACATACGTCCGTCACAATACGGAGCCGAGACATTTTTTGCTCCGGTCTGGCCAGGTCAAGATCCGTGATTGCAATCGCACCAAACAGTAAAAAGAACGGTGAGAAGATCCAGTTCATCAACTCAAAATACTGTAATGTTAGATCAGTAACTACAAATTAGAGCATAATCCTTATATATTCCCAAAATGAAGACCGTTTGATTAAATGACTGGATGCAAACTATTGGTACTTCAACATACCAGGAAGCAGATTTCTCATCTCGATCAAAATATTTCTCTTATAAAGCTTAAAAGGCTGATAAAATCATTTCACAAGAACTTCCAAGAGAGCATCTCACTACTTCCAAAGAAACTCATGGATTGATGAAGAGATGCTGAGTTTGGAAGTAAAGAACAAGCCAATTTATTATGATCCTCGTTATCCCTGTTACAAAAATCCAAAACAAAAAGAAAATATTTGGGCAGAAACTGAACCTATGTTGGATTCTGATGGGAATTTATTTAATGTCATATTAAATTGCATTTTTGCATGTTTTGCTCCTATGAATTTAATAATAATAAAGCGCATGCTCTCTTCGAGCTTCGAGGGAGT